ATATTTTTTTTTTATTTTTTTTCACCTAGGGGCGTCTTATGGTCAAAGCAAAAATACGGTAATATAATATATTATATATATATTAAATATACATACATACATTTTTTTATTTTCTCTTATACAAGGGTTCAAACAACATGTACAACACTACTATTACTAAAAAGGTTTAAAAGCTACTTTAACTAGTAGTTGCACAGTCATGCAATGCTGTATCCAAACAAAATTTTATATAATTTTTTTTTTTCACAAATTTGAGCTTTTTTTTGGTGGTATTTGATGGTTTTATTTTAATTGAAATGCAAAAAGACCAAACATTTTGAAAAAAACAATATTTTTTTACTTTCTGCTATAAACAAATACAATAAAATTTTTTTTAAATAAATCAAATTTCTGCTACATGTTTTTGGTAAAACAAAATCCATATAAATGTATATTGATTGATTTGCGTGAAAGTTATAAAACTATGATATATAAACTGGATTTTTTTTTATACTACAAATGGCTGTGATCAGTGACTTATAGTGGGACTGTGATAGTGCTGCAGGCAATTTGACACGAACAGACACTGAGTGGGAACTGACTGACATCACTAGTAACTTTAATATAGTGATCAGTAATAATACTATACTGTCACTGTGCTAATGACACTGGTTGGGAAGGGGGTCAACATCTCAGGGTAATCAAGGGGTTAAGTGTGTGCTTAATAGGTGTTAAGGTGTGTAAAGTATGCTGCTTGTTACTGAAAATCCTTTTGTTCCTTCTCTCTGCTTCGAATGGATAAGAAACAGAGATTTCTTCCTCTGTACAGAGTCATATGTAGATTGTCAGCACAGGGCTTTGGGCTGTGATTAAACACAGCTGATCAGCAGGTCCTGGCCATGAATCACAGCAGAAGGTGGGGATGCGCACGCGCCCTGTATCCGGATGAGATCAGAGACTTACAGGAACGTCGCTGTGCCTGTACTGGCCGCCCGTCCATAGTACATTGCATTGCAGGCAGGTGGTTGGTCCGTAAAGTGTTACTAAACCCACAACAGTAAAATCAGTCTGTATATGCAGTAAAGTATGCTTGTTATACTCGCTGTGGAACCTAAGGGGTTAATCCTCTGCATTGTGTAAAAAGGATGTTTGATCCTGTGTTCTCTGATCCTCCCCTTCTATTGTTCCAAACCCACATGCTGATAGTACAGAGCCTTGGGGCCAAGCTGCACATGCCTAGTTTTGGTGTGCATTGCTAGAGAGATTTTTTTTTTTTTTCTTGGGTGAGGGCACGGGATCAGCACAGAGCCAATCGGCACTGCCCAGACAGAGGGTCAAAGGTTATGCAGCCTCATAGGACAATTGGGAGAATGAAAACTCCTACAAGCTTTAACCAGTGCTCTGCTGGACACTAATAGAAGTCATAAGACTGCTCTAACTGCTGATGAGAAAAGATATTTAGCTGTTTATATTTACTAAAATAATTGCATTTCCATGTTGTTTGTACTGTGGGAGACCAGATATAGTGATTGTAGGGTCCTGGGTTTAGTATCACTTTAAGTGGTTAAGTGTGGCCTTCTTCTCTTCGTTTAAATGACTAAATATTAAAAATGTACCGGTGAGGAAAAAAAGGTTGGATAATACACTTTGCCCTGGCTTCTACCTGCAGCACTTCTTTTATGTATGCTACATTGTGGAGACCTTGTCTTATCTGGTCCTTTTACTAAATATGTACAAAATAGGTGCATGTCTTTGTCAGCATTCATGTAGTTACTTTATGCCTATTTCAAATCTATTATTTTTTAATTCAGTGTACCAACAAGGGGCCACATTTAACAAGTGGGCTTTGCCTGGGGTGCATGTAGTCAAGGTCCACTTTAAGGAGGCCATAGCATAAGTGACTTTTAGACATTTTTTATACTGCAGTACCTCTTGAAAACACTTCATTAAACCCCTTTGGTTATGAAGAATATTTTATTCTGCATTTATTGTGAGCCCGTCACAGGAAAAACGATATTAGTTTATAAATTCCGTTGTGTGAATGTTGTTTTCTTACAGGCATCTTCGTCATTTTGTAAAGTTTGTGCTTTTATGGAATGACAGGGATGTGGTGCTTTTCCTGTTCAGAACAAAGTGACTCAGCTTTAGTCCCTTTTGTAGTTTGTATATCACCTCTATAATAACCTTGGTAACTTTATAGAGCTATAAACCGTTTTTTGTTGGGGGGATTGAGAACATAACAATATACAGAACATCTGACTTGTTATGACCTGAAACTTAATCTAAAATGAACTAAAATCAATGTTTTGTTCTGTGGTTGGTTAATTGCATCAGTATGCCTGGATTCAGCATTTTACTGCTGCAGGCAATTGCCTGGCATTAACCGGTAAACCATGCCCAATATGGGGTGCATTTAATATCCATATGGTGGGCTGTGTGTACAGTACAGAATGCAGAATTCATATAGAGAATTGAAATGGACAAATAGGGTGACCCTGCAGAAAATTAGAGAAGAATTATGTCTTTTAAAAAAGCATACCTGGGCAATTTTAAGTGGATTTCAGTATGAAAAAAAGCACATAGCTGAATTGCAAATGCAAATCTGGACTCTTTCTGTAACCTGACTCTGCCTGTTCTACCAAGCCTTCCTGTTGGACAGCAAGACTGTCTGCCACATTAAAGCGACCCTGTTGTGTTGTGTTTTTCTTGTCTGTAGATGTCGTCAGGAAACACCTTGGTGACCATGGCACCATACTTCACCTCGTCCACTAAAATGGTTACTTGTCCACTAGAACTGGCCCTCGAAAGTCCACTGGAAAACAGACCCTTCAGGGGCCACCAATCCAGGAGTTCCTCTGCAGCATGCTAGTTCCTCCCCTCTGACCTCATGTCACCATTGTAGTATGTCATAGAGAGAAACCAGGGAGGCTAGATTAGTACTCAGAAGTGTCTTTCCCAGTGGACGTCCAGGCTTCAGTTCTAGCAATTGGAACAGTATTCGCTAGCGCAGGCACTGAGAACTTATTTCTGTCTTCTACTGGTAAAAAGACTTTAAAATAAAAATAATCACAACAGGGTAATTTTAAGATGTATCTAAAGCCTTTTTTTAAGTTTGGTGAAGGGTTAAATTGACTGTCAGATATTTATTGCAGCCTATGTCTTCTTAGGGAAACTTAGACTAGCCGTACATGTTAAGATTTCTCAATCAACTTCATGGGCTGCAGAAGAGAAGTCAATAGATTCCACCTGCCAAACTCAACAGAGGAGCAGTGGCTGTAAGAACACCTGAGCAGTGACTGCATATGATTGACTGCAGTCGCTGTTCAGCTGGGATTTTTTTTTTTCTGGCTCTGTAGTTTTTCATATTGAAGTCTGCTGAGCTAGGTGATGCCAACAGGGCCACCTACGGCTTGAATTTTGACCAATTCAGCAGGAATTGGCCAAAATGTAAGCCGTGTATGGCCAGCATTAACTCTACTTTTTGTCCTGGTGATTGTCACTGGAAGAGTAATTGAGAGCAAGTCCAAAATTTCAACTTGAACCTAGAACAGGAATAGAGGGGAATTCTTCCTATGGGGAAATTTGTTTTGGTGATCACTGTCCAAAAGGGGATTTCTCTCACATTATAGGGGTTTCCTTTCCGTTCCTGTTGTGTCTACAGGACAGCATGCAAATGGAATTCTCCCAAGTTAGATACAAATGACAAAAAAAGAAAGAGGAGTTTTAACTGTTTGCAATTTCTCCCTGTGCCTGCCTGGGTTTACTCCGGTTTCCTACCACACTCCAAAGACATGTTTATAGGTTAATTGGCTCTTTTCGAAATTGGCCCTACTATGTGTATGTATTAATGTGAGTTCAGGATCTTAGATTGTACGCTCCATGAGGGCAGGAACTGATGAGAATGTACAATATATATGTAAAGTGCTGTGTAAATTGATGCTGCTTTATAAGTACCTGAAAAAAAACAACTTTTCCCTACTCTTATCTTAGCTAAACGTTTGCAGGAACAGTTGGGATTATGTGCCAATAAAGCACATGATGTAGCGGCCCAAGGTGGTAAAAGCTCTCCATAGATTTGTGCTGGAAATGCAAAAGGGGATATGTTACACATTTAATGGGACTGCCCCTTGATTGCACCCTTCTGGAAGAAATTCTGTGAATTGATTCTTCATATCACAGATATGCAGAATAAACTTACATCTGCCTGCCGTCTATTCTACATCTCAAATTACTCTCTAGGCAGATACAAACTGTCCTTGACAAAGCACCTACTGGACGCTGCTAAATCTTTGATTCTCAAATTAAGGAAGTCTTCCAATATCCCTGCGATTAGGGATTGGATTCGAACTACGGTATAGACAATATTTATGAGATGGAATAGACAGTAGTCATTGCACAGGAGCAAACAAAGAAATTCCATAAAACCTTGACTGCTTGGTTCCTATTCCAACTCTGATGAGTATGCTAAGCTAACTACCGGGTGATTTGATCTCTAACTGAATGATAGTAACTGAACACGCTGGACTTCTGTCTAACCTTTGACCCTATCCATTTTAATTTTTTGTTTTTATTTATTCTCTCTTTATGGTTTATATATTACGTTTACAAGTATCACAAGTATCAAGTGTTTAATCTGCCAAAACAGTGTTGCTCCTGGACACACTGGCAGTGTTTTTTTTTTTTTTTTTTTGTTTTTGTTTTGTTTTTTTTTCTACCTGTGTATGGACACATAGGTTACCATGCAGGGGGGTTTAGAGGCAGAAAAAAAACAAATGACAGATGCCTCTAGGAGCAGCTAAAAAATTGTCCAGTGTGCATGAGACCCTAGGCATTTTTGCCCAGGTACCCCAAGGCTGATATAGAAGATTTTTTCAAAATTGTCTGCAAAAGTGGCAAATAACTTTACAGATCAATTTTATCAGGATTTTCACTTTTCATTCTTTGTTTTAATAACCGTGCATGGAAAATATCTTAGCAGAAGAAATATTTATAGCTTGTACTTTGTTTTCTTTTTTTTTCAGGTACAATTGGGTACAACCAGAGGAACAGAATTGACACATTGATGTATTTACTGGCATACCCGCAACGGCCAATGGTTAAAACCAAGACCATTGAGCTTATAGACTTTGAAAAACTTCCTGCAGGACAAAATGCCACAGTGGCAGTGATGAGCTATAGTGGGTACGACATTGAAGATGCCCTGGTATTGAATAAAGCTTCTCTAGACAGAGGTTAGTACCAGAAGTGTTTTGTAGTCACCTTTTTCACATTAACTGATTCAACCCTGAAAGCCAAGCTTCCAACGACATCTAGTACCATCTAGCCCACTCCTCCCACCCATACTTTTCCTAGTAAATCCTTTTCATTTATTGGATTTTAGTACTTATAATCGTGGAGGCTCAATATGACATGTGGGCATTGTGGGCCTAGGAACACCTTATCTTCAAGACTGACACCCACCCATCAAGGCAATTTTATATTTGCATAATTGTTCAAAGGAACCAACCCATTGCTTGCATCAGGGCCAAGGGTTCTTTAGAGGAGTACGAGACCCGATACTATGATGTTTTCAGGACAGTACCCTGCTGGCCCCTTCCACTAGCCATAGTCTACCTGCATTGCATAGGGAAGCACAGAGACCAAATGATGACATTACTGTGCCTGAAATAAGGTATGTATTGAAACACTTTTTATTTCAAAGATTCATTAGCACACCGAGAACCCCCAAGCTTGTCTCCCCAGTCACACACAAAGGTGGCTGATGTTGAGACAGCTTGGCTGCTGGAGGTGGTCTTCCATGGCTACAAATGGGGCTTTCGCTCTGACCCTTTTCCTTAATTTACTACCTCCAATGTTCCAAATGCACAGATTAGCAGATCTCCATTAAGCCCTCTCCATTCTTCTAGACCAAGGTGTCATTGCCCCAGTTCATGTGACAGAAGGTTCCAAAGGTTTTACTGAATCTTGTTCACCATGTCCAAACCCAAAGGGGGCATTAATCTCCATCTGGACAGCAAAGCTTTGAAATTCGTCATTTAAAGTCTGTAAAATTACATGGAATCTACAAGATCTGTTATCGCCTCCCTTCACCAGGAAGAGTGTCTGGCTTTTGTGGACATTAAATAATCTTGCATACATGTCTCCATCTCCATCTTTCCTGCACATCAGCCATTCCTACTGTTTGCTGCTGGACCTCTGCACTATCAGTTTGTGGCCTTGGCCAGAAGTATCAGTCATTCAAGAGAGTAGATTGACAAGGCTGAAGCTTGAAGTTCTGGCCAGAACAGGATCCAGACATGTACATCCCAGGCATAGTCAATAGCCAGGCAGACTTCTTAGTCTACAGTGTCTGGATCCAGAGGTGTGGATATTTCGGTGGCTCCATTGAATCAATACCCAACCTGATTTTTACCTTTCCATCCCTGAAACTTCTTCCTTGTCTGCTTAAAAGATTGAGCTGGAACGCATTACAGTGGTCCTCTTTGCACTGGACTGACCCAGGCAGATTTAGTAAGTTGAGCTGGTCAGATACCTAGCAGATGCCCTGTGCTTTACTGGATCTTTATGATCTTCTATCTCAGAGGCCAGTTTGCTATCCTGCGGCACGGTTGCTAGCTTTAGCTGCATAGACATTAAAGTCCTGGTTCTTTTGTCCATTACTTTTTTTCAAAGAGTAGTATATTACAGTCATATGATAGATTCAGTTGACCATTTAGTACAGTGTAACCTAAGTGGGTACAACAATTGGTTACAATTAATACGCATAATAGAAAAATACACTTGGTTTGTTAAGTGACAAATCTGTCCCAGGCCTATGGCAAACTTTGAAAATCATGCTAAGCTAAGGGAATAACATAGGCTTAGGTACTCAACGGAATAACGTAGTGTATTTATGGGCAAAATGTAAAATCATATTTTTTTTCCACATTGTATTTTCAGCCTACTTCTATTAATCTGAAGTCTTGAAGTTTGTAACACATTAACTTCCTTCAATTCCATGACACATATTCATTATGCCCTGTTGATAAGCAGTCCTGTGTCACAGAATTCACAGAGCCTGCCTTCTGAACTACAGAGGTGCTGAGAGAAGTAGTTTCAGGAAGTGGAATCAGTACAGGGATCACAGGTTGCAGACAGAAATGTACCATGAGATATGTAGTCCTTAGAAATCGGCAGATGAGAAATTGCAAAGCATGCAGGGAATCCAGAGAGTTGTGGAAAGAGATGGCCAGCAGACAGGCAGAACTCACAACATAAAAAGTTTTTTCAAGTATGCTTATATTGGTTTGTCAAAAATAACTGTTGTTTGTATTGCTATTATAATACCAATGTTATAAACTGAAAGTGTATGATGTGACCATAGATTTTTTTTTAATAAGAACACCACCTGAAAGAATCTTAGGTTGGAGAACCCATTGTCAGTTTCTAAATGTGGTTTGGGACTTTTAAGAGCCTCTCTCTCAGCCACTGCTTCTTTTAGAAGACTGATTCCCTTTTGAGTTCCAACATGAATCCACAGGAGTGCTCTAGTGTCTTGTTCAAGCTTGTGGTCTCAAGGATCAGATTCAATACTTTCCTGTCAAAACATGTTATTCGATATATGAATGCTTCTTGAGCTGTTTCCCACATTTGCAAGGTTGTGACCTGACCTTCTGTATGTATGATCTCTAAGTCGTACTGAGTGGACCTTGAAGTCTCATCTGAGCTGCAGACAGTTCCTATTTTTTTTTTCCTTGGGCCTGTTAGTAATTGTTTTGTGGTGTTGCTCTTTCCTCAGATGTCCGAAAGATTTTAAAGGACAAGTTCACTATTCGTAACGTGCTACACCAGTATTCAAGATGTAACATGTTACTAAAGAAGCAGCATACTTTTGGTACTGCTTTGCTACATGGCATGCTTGTAGTGAGAGGGGTTAGGCTGAGTACACGCGACTGAACCGGCCAATATTTGGACTATGTGTACAGCTGTCCTTCTGACAGAAGCTGGTCTAAGTACCGAAAAAACTGGAAAAAATGTGCACCTACCTTATTAATACAATACTAGTTTGACACTCTAAAGTATTTTGAAAATACCTCATGTGTTCATGTTTTGTGTTTAGCAGAAAGCCTTTATTTGTTTCACTTTAAGAACACACACTCATAGTAGTGCAATGAGAAAAAAGTTGGTGATCTGAAGACCGGCTTTGTCGAAAGGACATGCTGGAAAACCAGCTTCTGATCAGCACACGCAGCCAATGGCAGTGAGTTCTGGTGTGTTCTAGCGGGGTGTTCTGTCAGAACACTAAGGCACAGCGGGAGAGCTTGCTGGGCCGAACAAAAAAAACCTGAATGAGTGTACCAGGCTTTGTTTTTTGCCAGTATCTATACCTTCTATAGGTTGCAGTATAAAACCAGAAAGTTTAAGACTTCCTGTGTCCTTCAATGGACTTCAAGAAATGGCTTTTACAGTGAGAACAAATGTCCCATTTCCCTGGGGCAGCAGTAAAAGCTTGTAATACTGTGATTGTGCACATGTGTAACCCTCTGCTTATGTTTTTTTTAGCTTAAATGCAAGTGTAATTTCCATGCAAAAAACTTGGTGTACATAAAATAAAAAGTAACTGCCACCTGCTATACATAGTTGAATAAGTATAGGAGATAGCAGTAACTGAAGACACCAAGATCGATTGGACACGCCAGACAGCTCTTGCCAGCTAAACAAACTCAAAGATGATACATACACACAGAAAATCAAGCTTCACCACTTCTCAACAAAAAAAGAATGGCACCTCCAATTACCATCACTGAATAGACAGACGCCTCCATCACATTGTTCTATGAGATGAAACCCGGGGTCCAGAAACCTAAATAAAGGCCTCCTTTGCTCTCAACACTCCTCTGCCTAGTGACATGTATGAGGACGGCACTACTGCACCCCCAGCACACCATACAACTTAAATATAACTTTTGTTGCCCAAGAAAGGATCTTACAGCACAACGCAAAGACACCTAAAAGAGCCATGTGGATGTACACTGCCAAACAATGGGCCATAGAATCAGCACAGTAGACAGTGAGAAACAAGTTTTAATTTTCCTATGGGTTCTGTTGTACCAAAGAGATGAAAAAAAGCCCACTTATTTAATTCCTGTTGTATCGACTGAGCTGCAAAGGAGAAAAGTGGGTAACAGCAGACGTTGTAAGATACATTTCTGGGAATAATTTTACAGCAGCCTGGCAACCAATACAACCATCTTGTCTAAGCAAAGAATAAAAGGAATAGCGTGTGCTGTGTATAATAGTGGTGTAAAGGTGATCTGTGCCTTTTTGACCAGAGCCTAATTTATTTCTCACTAATTACTAGTTCCCCCTAAACCTCTGTCCAATTAGCTTGTCAGTGATAATGGAATTTGTTTTGCAAACAGTAAATGGTAACATTGTTAACAGACTGATGAATGTGAAACCTGAATAGAAGGCAAAGCTAGAATCGCATGTTGCATGGACCTCTAGTATAGTGTTTTCAGTGAGCTCATTGAATTGTGGTCACAGTGGTAAGATTGATGTAATTTTTCATGTAACCGTCACATGTTAATAGGGTTGCTCCACTGTATTTCTGTCATATTAAGCTCTCCTTTAAACAGGCAATTATCTCTGAGGCCAAAATCATCAGATTTGTGTTGTTGGGGTCACGGGTACAGTACTGTGAAAACATTATAGGCAGATGTGAAGAAATGCTGAAAAGTAAGAATGCTTTCAAAATATATATTTTAATTTTATCAATTTACAAATTGTAAAGTGAGTGAACAGAAGAAAAATATAAATCGAATCAATATTTGGTTTAAATACCCTTTTGGCTTTAAATTAGCATCAATTCAGTTCATCCAGCTCTTGAGGAATCACAAAGAAGCGGGCAACGTTGAGGACCACAGACGCAGTGGGCAGCCAAGGAAACAATTCAGCAGATGAAAGACACATCATGCTTACTTTCCTTCAACATTGGTAGATCTACTGTCTGGAGAAGTCTGGACAGAAGTGGTATTCATGGAAGAACTGCTGCTAAAAAGCCATACATCCGACATGAAAACAAAACTACGTAACTCAATTATGCATGAAAACATGGAACCGGGGTGCGGAAAAATGGCAGCAGGTCCTATGGACTGATGAGTCAGAATTTGTAATATTTGACTGTAGCTGGGGGCAATTTGTTCGTGAAGGGCTGGGTAAGTGTCTGCAGGCAACAGTGAAACCTGGTGGTGGTTTCTTGCAAGTTTGGGGCTGCGTTTCTGCAGTTGGTTGTTTGGTCAGTATCAATGGTGCCCTCCATACTGAGAGATACAGGCAGATACGAATCTATCATGCCATACCATCGGGGAGGCATGTGATTGGTCCCAAATTTATTCTGCAACAGGACAACGACCCTAAACATGCATCCAATGTCAATGAGAATGATTTTCAATGTGAAGAACAAGGAGTCCTAGAAGTGATGGTTTGGTCCCCACAGAGCCCTGTTCTCAACATTGAGTCTGTCTGGGATTAAATGAAGAGACGGGAGGATTTGAGGCAGCCTACATCCACAGTAGATCTGTGCTTAGTTCTTCATGATGTTGGGAACAACCTACCTGCTAAGATCCTTCAAAAACTGCATGCAAGGGCTGGTGCTAGACTATTTTGCGCCCTAGACAATACCAGCTACTTGCACCACCCTCCACCCCCCCCAAAAAACTAAAACTCTGAAACCGTAGAAAATATTAAAACAGCTTGTAGTTTGGGTGACACAGGCCACAAATCCCCCCCAAATCAATCCTGCATATACCCCCAAATTTCCCATCCTAGAACAAATCTTACTCCATGCTGCCCCAAAACTCCCTCTGCCAGCACAAATTCCCTTCCCCCAATCCTCCCTCTTGCACAAATTATTTTCCCACACAACCCCCCCTCTCAGCACAAATGCCCCCTAATCACCCCCCCATATTTTCCCTCCTAGAACAAATCTTACCCTGTCACCCTCAAAAATTCCCTTTCCCAGAATAAATGCCCTCCCCACTTCCAGCACAAATCCCTCCCCAAATCACCCTTCCTAGCATATCCCCTCCTAGAAGAATTCTTACTCCCGTCACCTCCCAAATTCTTACTCCCAGCACAGATCTGTCCTCCTGGAACAAATCTTCTGTGACCCCCAAATTCCTGCCAACAAAACCCCCCCCCCCCAAAAAAAAATGACAGCTTGTGGGCTGTCTCCCGGCTCCTCCTCAGCTTGCGGGCTGTCTCCCGGCTCCTCCTCAGCTTGCGGGCTGTCTCCCGGCTCCTCCTCAGCTTGCGGGCTGTCTCCCGGCTCCTCCTCAGCTTGCGGGCTGTCTCCCGGCTCCTCCTCAGCTTGCGGGCTGTCTCTCGGCTCCTCCTCAGCTTGCGGGCTGTCTGCCGGGCTCCTCCTCAGCTTGAGGGCTGCTGCCGGCTCCTCCTCAGCTTGCGGGCTGCTCCCGGCTCCTCCTCAGCTTGCGGGCTGCCTCCGGGCTCCTCCTCAGCTTGCGGGCTGCCTGCCGGGCTCCTCCTCAGCTTGCGGGCTGCCTGCCGGCTCCTCCTCAGCTTGCGGGCTGCCTGCCGGCTCCTCCTCAGCTTGCGGGCTGCTGCTCGGCTCCTCCTCCTCAGCTTGCGGGCTGCCTGCCGGGCTCCTCCTCAGCTTGCGGGCTGCCTGCCGGGCTCCTCCTCAGCTTGCGGGCTGCCTGCCGGGCTCCTCCTCAGCTTGCGGGCTGCCTGCCGGGCTCCTCCTCAGCTTGCGGGCTGCCTGCGGGCTGCCTCCTCAGCTTGCGGGCTGCCTGCCGGGCTCCTCCTCAGCTTGCGGGCTGCCTGCCGGGCTCCTCCTCAGCAGCTTGCGGGCTGCCTGCCGGGCTCCTCCTCAGCTTGCGGGCTGCCTGCCGGCTCCTCCTCAGCTTGCGGGCTGCCTGCCGGGCTCTTCCTCAGCTTGCGGGCTGCCTGCCGGGCTCTCCTCAGCTTGCGGGCTGCCTGCCGGGCTCCTCCTCAGCTTGCGGGCTGCCTGCCGGGCTCCTCCTCAGCTTGCGGGCTGCCTGCCGGGCTCCTCCTCAGCCTGCCGGCTGCCTGCGGGCTGCCTGCCGGGCTCCTCCTCAGCATTGCGGGCTGCCTGCCGGGCTCCTCCTCAGCATGCGGGCTGCCTGCCGGGGCTCCTCCTCAGCATGCGGGCTGCCTGCCGGGCTCCTCCTCAGCATGCGGGCTGCCTGCCGGGCTCCTCCTCAGCATGCGGGCTGCCTGCCGGGCTCCTCCTCAGCATGCGGGCTGCCTGCCGGGCTCCTCCTCAGCATGCGGGCTGCCTGCCGGGCTCCTCCTCAGCATGCGGGCTGCCTGCCGGGCTCCTCCTCAGCATGCGGGCTGCCTGCCGGGCTCCTCCTCAGCATGCGGGCTGCCTGCCGGGCTCCTCCTCAGCATGCGGGCTGCCTGCCGGGCTCCTCCTCAGCATGCGGGCTGCCTGCCGGGCTCCTCCTCAGCTTGCGGGCTGCCTGCCGGGCTCCTCCTCAGCTTGCGGGCTGCCTGCCGGGCTCCTCCTCAGCATGCGGGCTGCCTGCCGGGCTCCTCCTCAGCTTGCGGGCTGCCTGCCGGGCTCTTCCTCAGCTTGCGGGCTGCCTTCCGGGCTCCTCCTCAGCATTGCGGGCTGCCTGCCGGGCTCCTCCTCAGCTTGCGGGCTGCCTGCCGGGCTCCTCCTCAGCTTGCGGGCTGCCTGCCGGGCTCCTCCTCAGCTTGCGGGCTCCTACTCTGTGGGATTTTTGTTGAATGTTCTGATGACAGGTGCTTTTTAACACACCAGACCAAGGGTCCTCATTTAAAGAAAAAAAAATGACAATTAGATTTGGACATTAGTCACATGGCTAAAATAAAGATCCTTAGGGCCCATTCACATCTCTTCAGTCCATTATATTGCATTAGCCAAATAGGTTAACGTGTGTTAAAGCGATATTAAAGGTTCATATTTTTGTTTTTGTAAAGTAATAAACATGTTATACTTACCTGCTGTATGCACTGGCTTTGCACATAGCAGCCTGGATCCTTCTCTTCTCAAGTCCTGCGCAAGCTCTCCTGGCTCCTCCTTTCTGTTTGGTGCCCCCACAGCAAGCAGCTTGCTATGAAGGCACCCGCTGCTCCATGTGTCCTTTCACACATGGAGCCGCAGCGTGGCCCTGCCCCCTATCTCTCCTCATTGGCTGACTGGTAGTGATTGACAACAGTGGGAACCAATGGCTCCCGCTTGCTGTCTCAGTCAATGAGGAGGCAGAGACCCGTGACTACCAAGGCTGCCGTACACATTGATGGATCACGATGGGCTCAGGGAAGTATTAAGAGGGCTCGGGGTACTGCTGCACACAGAAGGTTTTTTTTTTACCTACATTCATAGAATACATAAAGGTAAAAACCTTCAGCCTTTACAACCACTTTAAGGCATTCCATTCAATGATTTGGCTTCCAATGCATCACAACTGTGGTTGAAAATCACATGGAACATTTTTCTGATGCAGTGCACCACAGCACATGATAGTTGAAGGAATGCAACACAGCTGTGTTCCTTCAAAGCTTCGGGGTGCCATTGACAATGAATGTCTTGCCTCCTATTGCAGTTACACTTGTGTTAAAGCTATCCATAAATGTTTGCTTTCTCTCAATCAGCTTTTATTGCAGAAAAGACATAAAGAATCTTTTCTGCAGTAAAAACCTGCCTGTCAGCAATTTTCTTTGTCTTTAATTCCATTCTTAATTCAAAAATTGAAAGGCTTAATTTTATAGTAAACAATTCAGGGCAAAGTACAAGTTTTGGAATTTCTCTGATTACAGCATATTTATACTGTATATTTTGAATTTAGGTGTTCAGTTTTTTTTTTCATGTACAGACTAACAGAAGTAAATGAATTCCCCCTCTAGGCTTTGGACGATGTCTCGTTTACAAAAATGCAAAATGCACTCTGAAGCGCTACAGCAATCAGACATTTGATAAAGTCATGGGACCCATGTTGGACGCCACTACACGGAAGCCAATATGGAGACATGAAATTTTAGATGCGGATGGAATTTGTTCACCAGGTAAAGAATTCAACTAGCACATAAACCTTTGTGCTTTAATCCAATATCTCTTCTGTGTGAAAAGTCTATGGGTAAAGGAAATTCTTCACATGTGTGAACGAACTTCTCTTATTTGCTATATTTGTCTGTTAATGTAAAAAAAATTACCTTTTTTTCCTGATAGAAATTGTGTGAGCTAGTAACTACATGTGCTCTGTGCCTGTGCGGCTCTATTTCCAGCTATTTCTCTGAACTACAAAACGCCATCTCACATTAAGAGGAATGTGAGAAGTGTCCTGTAGTCCTGCCCTAGGGGTGACAACACTGTTCCTCCATAGATGCAGGACAGTAGGTGAGCTTGATCACACTAGGACAGGAAAGGTGATTACATCTTTGTTCTTAGGTTTAAAATATATTTTAACCCTTTTACTGCTGTCACTATGATAACCATTGCACAACATTAACAGGATGTAAATAAATGAACAGCTGCAATTTGTTCAGTGGAATGATACTGTGCAAGATGTGGTATCTCTTAAGCAACCAGAAGAATTAGTTTATTACATTCAGATAACCCTGGTTTTTTTATGAGTTGCTGCACATTGCTGTTCTTTATTATATATACCTAGTATATAAGTCTATTACATGCATAAAGCCAAGGGAGCTTACAGGAGCTTCAAATCCATACAAATTATACCAGTAGTATACCAGTTAAATCATTTTGCATTGACTCGTTGCAATCAAAAACTGTTTACAACAATTAAAGGCCTTGTGCACAGCCTGCGTAATAACATTCCTGGGACCTGCTACTGCCTTGTGCAGCTGCGCATTGAGATGCATTAGAAGAGGTAGTTGTGTAGTAGGGGTTATGGAAAGAACCTACGTGCTCACTGATGTGCGCTTCAAATGCACACTACCTGTGCGTGGAGTATATGTTCGCAATCCATGTGCACCGCTTACAGCCGATTCTCCTAATGTATCTCAATGGATAGCTGTATATGGGGGCAGCGGGGGGTCCCAAGAATGTCATCATGGAGGCTCTGCTTGCTATACATCTATGTGCATGAATCCTTAAGCTATAACTGCACTAGGAAAAAAAAAAAAAAAAACAACCCCAATAAAGATATAATATATATAAAAAATACACACACACACACACACACTATATGTACAAATGTGTGTGTATATATGTATGTGTGTGTGTATATATGTATGTATATATATATATATATATATGTATATGTACACCTTGCTAGTACTGGGCTGGACCCCCTTTTGCTTTCAGAACTGCCTTAATTCTTCGTGACATAGTTTCAACAAGGTGTTGGAAACATTCCTCAGAGATTTTGGTCCATATTGACATGAGTTACTGTTGCCTTTTTATCATCTCGAACCAGTCTGCCCATTCTCCTTTGACATCAACAAGGCATTTTCGTCCACACAACTGCCACTCACTGGATATTTTCTCTTTTTCGGACCATTCTTTGTAAACCCTAGAGATGGTTGTGTGTTAAAATCCCAGTAGGTCAGCAGTTTTTAAATATTCAGACCAGCCAGTCTGACACCAACAACCATGCCTCGTTCAAAGTCACTTAAATCCCCTCCTTTCCCCATTCTGATGCTCGGTTTGAACTTCAGCAAGTCTTCTTCACCATGTCTAGATGCCTAAATGCATTGAGTTGCTGACATGTGATTGGCTGATTAGCAATTTGTGTTACCAAGCAATTGAACAGTATAACTAAAACAAAAAAGTGGCCGGTAAGTGTGTGTGTATGTATATTGTGTGTATATGTTTGTATATTGTGTGTGTTGGTGGAGTTAATTTGCTTCTATCCCCACTCAGCACCTTTCAAGTCCTCCATAACCCTCCCTCTCTATCCTTCTCTTCTTTCGAGGCTCACTGCATCCGGCTGTTTTCTCCCATTTCTCTATGGATTGCAGTGAACTATTGGCCTCCTGGACCGGTGTCCCGCTTTCTTAATGATTTCTCCACCTGGCTACCCTACTTTCTCTCCTCTGAACTACCCACTATCATTCTCGGAGATTTTAACATCCCTATTAATGTCAACAACCCAGCTACATCCCAACTCTTCAACTTATCCTAATCTTTTGCATTAGCACAGTATATACAGTCCTCCACTCACTCTGATGGGAATACATTAGACCTTGTTTTCTCCCATCTTTGCACTTCCTACAACTTCACAAACACCCCTTTTCCTCCTCTCTGATCACAATCTCATCACCTACACAGTGTCCTCGTCTTGAAACACCTATCCCTCCAAGCAGCAAACAATTACCCGCAGAAACCTTCACAACTTGAACCCTGCTCCTTTCCACTCTGCAACTGACCAACTCTATGACAGAATCTCTCCCCTCTCCTGCCCTGACATGGCCACTACTGTCTACAACAGTTCGCTTTTATTCACATTAGACTCACTTGCTCCTCTAACAACACGAAGCATCAGGCCCCGACCATTACAACCGTGGCAAATCTTAAACGACATAGCTCTGCGCAGGAGTGATTGTGGCGTAAAACCAAATCTCAACAAGCATTCACCCTATATAAATCTGCTTTCTTAACATACAATTCTCCCTCCATGCTGCCAAACAAGCCTATTTTGTCACTCTTATTAATACCTTGTCATCCAGACCTTGTCGTCTCTTCTCTACTTTTAACTCTCTGCTTTCTCCACCTCCACCCAGTACCTCACTCACTGCTTACGAGATTGCAAATCATTTCAAAAACAAGATTGACGCAATTTGTAGGGGCATCGCCACTGCACAGACATCCATCCCAGTTAGCATACCTTATAATAAACCTCCCGCAACACTTTCCTCTTTTGACCTTGCTACTACTGAAGAGGTTACTAAGGTTTTCTCAGAAGCCCATCTCACTACCTGCCCCCTGGATCCTGTCCCCTCACAACTACTATGGTCACCCTCTTCTTCTGTCCTATGCTCCCTCACTCACATCTTCAATCTTTCCCTCTCTAACGGTGCCTTCCCCTCCCCTCTAAAGCATGCACACATCACTCCCATACTTAAAAAGTCCTCCCTGGACCCCACCAACCTGAACAACTTAAGACCCATCTCCCTGCTGCCATTTACCTCTAAACTCCTAGAACGCTTAGTCTACAATCGCCTGAGCTCCTACCTCACTGACAACAACCTTCTTGACCCTTTACAGTCTGGCTTTCGCTCACTACACTCCCCTGAAACTGCCTTACTAAAACTCACTAATGATCTACTAACAGCTAAAACCAATGGCCACTACTCCATTCTCTTACTACTTGACCTCTCTGCGGCTTTTGATACCGTTGACCATCCCCTCCTCCTCAAAAAACTCCACTCTCTTGGCCTCAGAGACTCTGCTCTCTCCTGGTTCTCCTTCTACCTATTGCAGCGCTCCTTCAGTGTTACCTATAACGCTGCCTCCTCCTCTTCATTCCCTCTTTCTGTAGGGGTCCCTCAAGGTTCTGTCCTTGGACCCCTTCTCTTCTCCATCTACACCTCCTCCCTTAGTCACTTGATAAACTCCCATGGCTTTAAGTACCATCTCTATGCTGATGACACACAAATCTATTTTTTTTACCCCTCACCTCACCCCTTTAGTCTCCTCTCGCATTACTAACCTACTAAGTGACATATCGGCATGGATGTCACTCCCACTTCCTCAAACTCCATCTTTCCAAAACTGAGCTCTTAGTATTCCCCCCAGCCCGTGCCCCCTCCCCTGACTTCTTCATCAAGATCAATAACATAATCAGTCCCTCCCCTCATGCCAGGGTACTAGGTGTAATCCTAGACTCCCATCTGTCCTTTCACCCCCAAATCCAATCACTGTCCAAATCTTGTAGACTTCACCTCTGCAACATCTCCAAGATACGCCCGTTCCTAACCTCGGAAACCACTAAGCAACTTATTCACTCCCTTGTTATATCTCGCCTTGACTATTGTAACTCCCTCCTCATTGGCCTACCTAATCGTAGGCTATCCCCTCTTTAGTCTATCATGAATGCTGCTACCATACTCATGCACCTTACTAACCGTTCTGTATCTGCCACCCCTCTTTGCCAATCCCTCCACTGGCTTCCCATTGCCAACAGATAAAATTCAAAACATTAACAACATATAAAGCCATTTATAACTCTGCCCCAAATTACATCACCGATTTTGTCTCTAAATATCACCCAAACTGTACTCTCCGCTCCTCGCAAAACCTCCTGCTCTCTAGCTCCCTTGTCTCCTCCTCCCCCATGCTCGTCTCCAGGACTTCTCCAGAGCTTCCCCCATTCTCTGGAACTCTCTACCCAATTTATCAGACTATCGCCTACGTTGCTTACTTTTTAGGCGATCTCTGAAAACCTATCTCTTCAGGGAAGCCTATCCTGCCCTCAGCTAATAATGGAATCTTCTACTCCTCCTACCATTCCATCCCCCACAGTTACTACCTTTTTGTACCACTAACCCCTCCCTCCTAGATTGTAAGCTCCAAGGAGCAGGGCCCTCAAATCCCTCTTGTATTGAACTGTATTGTTGCTGTATTGTCTCCCATTATATTATAAAGCGCTGAGCAAGCTGTTGGCGCTATATAAATCCTGTATAATAATAATATGTAATATGTGTAAGCAAAAGTGTGTGCGTGTGTATGTATATATATATATATATATATATATATATATATATATATATATATATATATACATATGTATGTATATATTACATACAGTGGGGATCGAAAGTTTGGGCACCCCAGCTAAAAATTTGTATTAATGTGCATAAAGAAGCCAAGGAAAGATGAAAAAATCTCCAAAAGGCATCAAATTACAGATTAGACATTCTTATAATATGTCAACAAAAGTTAGATTTTATTTCCATCATTTACACTTTCAAAATAACAGAAAACAAAAAAATGGCGTCTGCAAAAGTTTGGGCACCCTGCAGAATTTATAGCATGCACTGCCCCCTTTGCAAAGCTGAGACCTGCCAGTGTCATGGATTGTTCTCAGTCATCGTCTGGGAAGACCAGGTTATGTCAATCTCAAAGGTTTTAAATACCCAGACTCATCTGACCTTGCCCCAACAATCAGCACCATGGGTTCTTCTATGCAGTTGTCTAGAAAACTGAAACTGAAAATAGTAGACGCTCACAAAGCTGGAGAAGGCTATAAGAAGATAGCAAAGCGTTTTCAGATGTCAATATCCTCTGTTCGGAATGTAATGAAGAAATGGCAGCCATCAGAAACAGTGGAAGTTAAAGCAAGATCTGGAAGACCAAGAAAAATATCAGACAGAACAGCTCGCAGGATTGTGAGAAAAACAATTCAAAACCCACGTTTGACTGCACGATCCCTCCAGAAAGATCTGGCAGACACTGGAGTTGTGGTACACTATTCCACTATAAAGAGATACTTGTACAAATATGGTCTTCATGGAAGAGTCATCAGAAGGAAACCTCTTCTACGTCCTCACCACAAAAATCATCATTTGAACTTTGCAAATGAACATATAGACAAGCCTTATGCATTTTGGAAACAAGTTCTGTGGACCGATGAGGTTAAAATTGAACTTTTTGGCCGGAATGAGCAAAGGTACGTTTGGAGAAGAAGGGGCACAGAATTTAATGAAAAGAACCTCTGTCCAACTGTTAAGCATGGGGTTGGATCAATCATGCTTTGGGGTTGTGTTGCAGCCAGTGGCACAGGGAACATCTCACGAGTAAAAGGAAAAATGGATTCAATAAAATTTCAGCAAATTTTGGATGGTAACTTGATGCCATCTGTGAAAAAGCTGAAGGTAAAGAGAGGATGGCTTCTACAAATGGATAATGATCCTAAACACACCTCGAAATCCACGGGGGATTACATCAAGAGGCGTAAACTGAAGGTTTTGCCATGGCCTTCACAATCTCCTGACCTCAACATAATTGAAAATCTATGGATAGACCTTAAAAGAGCAGTGCGTGACAGACAGCCCAGAAATCTCAAAGAACTGGAAGACTTTTGTAAGGAAGAATGGGCAAAGATACCTCAAACAAGAATTGAAAGACTCTTGGCTGGCTACAAAAAGCGTTTACAAGCTGTGATACTTGCCAAAGGGGGCAGTACAAGATATTAACTCTGCAGGGTGCCCAAACTTTTGCAGATGCCATTTTTTTGTTTTCTGTTATTTTGAAAGTGTAAATGATGGAAATAAAATCTAACTTTTGTTGACATATTATAAGAATGTCTAATCTGTAATTTGATGCCTTTTGGAGATTTTTCCATTTTCCTTGTCTTCTTTATGCACATTAATACAAATTTTTAGCTGGGGTGCCCAAACTTTCGATCCCCACTGTATATGATGTAAGCAAATGTTTTTGGTAGATTCATGCATTTTGGGTTGCGTTTTACAGTTTCCCTATGTCCTGTTTCAGGATCTACTTTTATGATGGCCACCTGGGCATTCTTGTGTTCAAATCAGTCAGCTGCAGTGCCTGCACTGCTAAGCCTCTCTATCTCACTAAAGCTAAAAATCCTGCTGCAGGGAATGCCTAAAATGTGAGCTGACTGGCTGAATTTGAATATTTGAATTGACTTGTGCAGCCCTTTTTTTTCTTTTTTTTTTTTTTTTTTTTTTTTAAACCAGTGAGTCAGACATAGAAGCAGCAAATAGGTTTATAAGGAGCATGTTGTACACTAGTGGTGTATGATAGCCTGCACTTTGCCATATTGCAAGAAAGCAACTCGTTTTTTTTTTTGTTTGGTTTTTTTGTTTAGTTTTTTTCCTTTTTTGTGTTTTTGTTTTTTGTTATAGAAAATGCAGGGTGCAAGTTGAAGTGGAGAGGTCATTTTTAATAATATTAATGTACAAAGTGGTTTGAGTTAGCAATTACTTGTGTTCATTTTGTTTTCCCAAAGTTGAGTTTTCCTTTTAGTTTACAAATTGTCTAATTGTGCCCATTTCTGTGATCAGGAGAAAAAGTGGAAAACAAGCAGGTCCTGGTGAACAAATCCATGCCAACTGTCACCCAGACTCCTCTAGAGGGCAGCACTGGGCCACAGCAACCACAATATAAGGATGTCCTGTAACGTAAGTCACTTGGAGCTATTGTCGACTTTTGTTTTTGTGCACATACACAAAGACTAATGCAAAAATATATTGTTAAAGGTACGCCTATGTACTGCCAAATTGTAAATTTACATGCTTTAATTAGAGGATGAGGAGGAAGGTGTGTGTGTCAGACTGAGTTAAAATTAATGATGTCCAGCAGAAAGCAGGTTAATAGTGCCAAAGGATGTAAACTCTGTGCTGGACAACATTTTTTTAAATATAGCAGTATTTTTCAGCAGCGTTTAGTTTTTTTTTTTTTTGTTTTGTTTTTTTCTGTTAGCCTTTAAAGCTGTATTAAATCCAAAATCAAGCATTTATTATATTGCAGCTTATCAATTTTTAGATGTGCTGGCTGCATTCATTTCCTTTTTTTAGGCTTTCTTTCTTTTATTTTCATCTGGCGATCCAGCCAGTAAGTCTGTTTTTCCAAGAACAAGCTCTCAAGCAGAATGCATCAATAAAAGAGATGGGACAACACATTTAACACTAGTAGGGGTACTTCCAATAATCAGCTTTTATTTATGTAAAACCTTTATAAACTGTTACAGTGAACAGTTTTTTTCCTTTTGAGACAAAGTATTAGCTGGGGTTTGGCTTAATTTTTTTGTGCATTTAGCCACTTTAAGCTCCTGAAGATTTTACCCTCTTCATGACCAAGCCATTTTTTTGCTATTTAGCACTGTGCTACTTTAATTGGTAATACATGGTCATGCAACACTGTACCCACATTAAATTTATATCATTTTTTTTCACACAAATAGAGCTTTCATTTGGTGTTATTTGGTCACCACTAGATTTTTGTATAATTATTATATAAATGAAAAAAGACCAAAAATTAAAAAAACAAACATTTTTTTACTTTCTGCTATAATAGCCAATAAAAATAATAAAACATTTTAAAAACCAGTAAGTTTATATTGATTGGTTTGTGTGAACGTTATAGCATCTACAAACGATGATATACTGGAATTTTAATTTTTTTTTTTTTTTTATACCAGTACTGGTGCTGATCAGCAACTTATAGTGGGCCTGTGATTGTGCGGCGGGCAATCTGACACTAACTGACATTTTGTGAGATCTGACACTGACGTCTCCAGTGACACTAATACAGTGATCAATGCTAATACTATACACTGTCACTGTACTAATGACACTGGCTGGGAAGGGGTTAACATCTAGGGGCCATCAGAGGATTAGCTGTGTGCCTAACAAGTGTAAAGTGTGTAATGTGTGCTGCGCTTTTACTAAGCAATGTGACTGGTTTTACTCCCTGCCTTGCAGGGAAAAGAAAAACAGCCACGTCGCTGCAGTTTGTAGAGTGTTGATAAACAACACAGGGCTCTCTTCTGTCATTCGCTCAGCTGACCAGTGTGTCCTTGCCATAAATCATTGGCTGATACTCGCTGATTTGGTTTGTGCTGTAGTAAATGTCAGCACAGCCGGGGAGGCGGCCTTGCACGCATGCCCCCTACCCGGAACTGCTGGACCACATTTATATACATTTGATCTGCCGCATAGCGGCTGCACTGTAGCAGTAAAGCTACATTAAGTGGTCTGCAAGCAGTTAAATCCTCAAGTCCAGGGAGCGCGCGGCGATCGGCGGTGCGCTGTTTCCCTCGGACACAGCGGATCACCGATCACGGAAAGAGCCGAAGATGTCGGCTCGGTCATGTGATCAGCTGTGTCCAATCACAGCTGATCACATGTAAACAGGGAAATGCCGGTTATCGGCATTTCTCTCCTCTCGAGCTGTCACGCTGACAGCTCGAGAGGAGAGATGGTAATCGGCTTTCCGCGGAGGGGACATGTACACTGATCATCAGGGCACTGATGATCACTGTAGCCCCAGCAGTGCCACCTGTCAGTGCTCGTCAGTGCTCAACAGTGCCCATCAGTGCCACATCAATGCCACATATCCGTGCACATCAATGCCACATATCAGTGCCCATGTGAGCTGCCTTTCAGTGTCACCCATCAGTGCCAGTCAGTGCCACCTATCAATGTCAATCAGTGCCAGTCAGTGCCGCCTAAGAGTGTCAGTCAGTGCCACCTATCAGTCCCATGTATCAGTGCTGCCTTTCAGTGCCAATCAGTGATGTCTGTCAATGCCCATCAGTGCCTCCTCATCAGTGTCCATCAGTGCAGCCTATCAGTGTCCATCAGTGCAGCCTATCAGTGCCCATCACTACAGCCTCATTAGCGCACATCAGTGAAGGAGAAAAATCACTTATTTACAAAATTTTATAACAAAAACTAAGAAATTTTTTTTTTTTTTCAAATTTTTTAGTGGTTTTTGGTTTGTTTAAGAAAAAATAAAAAACCCAGAGTTGATTGAATACCACCAAAATAAAGCTCTATCTGTCACAAAAAATGATAAAAATTTTCATATGGATACAGTGTTGCATGACCGGAAATTGGCCTGGGCAGGAAGGGGGTATAAGTGCCCTGTAGGCTTGTGGTTAAATAGACATACCTGAGGGCCATTTGTATCCCCCTGATGATGTCTAGCTCTAGAACTCTTTCAGATAACTTTGGGCCATCCTGTCCTGTTGCTAGTACGCTCCTACCATTGAACGCTCGCCCCCAGCATCACCAGAGTAAGTGTTCTCCTTGTTTAAATCCCTGCGTGTGTTCAGTGTGCTCTCTCTGCCTCTCTTTCAGCATTGCTGAGCCCAGCTGCTGCCTCAAATGTTATTCAGCAGTCAAACCTTTTAGCAGTAGGTTACAATAGGGATGCCTATTGCAAGGGCAACTGGCTAGGGAATTCCCCCTCTTTTTAGAGATTTGCTCTCTGTGTTTCTGGGACAAGAAGTGCAGGGGAAACAGACACATAACTGACAGGGATTCTAATTCTTCATGCACACTGGATGTTTTTACAGCGGCTATTTTTGGCTTTTGGTGTTTTTTTTTCTACAGCCAGTAAACTCCCCAGCATGTTATCCTATGTGTCCATACACACATAGACTGTAATCAGCGTTTTTTAGCTGGAAAAAAACCCCCCAGAACTAGTGGGTTTCTAGAGGAGTTTTTTAGCTGTAAAAATGCTAACTAACTCAGAAAAACGCGGCAAACTGGCGATTCTGTACTTTTTTTGAGCAAAAAAAATTATTTTTTTTGTAAAAAAAAAAAGCTAAAAAATTCTAAAAAAACACAAATGTGAAAAAACGCAGCTAGACGCTAATGCAAAAAACACTAAAAAAACGCTGAAAAACCTCACATTTTTAAAGTGACTTTACACAGCTAACGTTACCAGCGTTCTTAAAACGCCCAGTGTGCATGCAGCCTTACAATTACCTGTCTAACCCAAAAGTTATTTTTTGTAGTTTTGAATAGATACATTTTAGGAAGATGCTTGCTTTGTTTAGATTACCTTTCAGTGTGTTTGTATTTTCTGGCATTTTGTTCCACTTATTTCTTATCCGTCACCTCATTCTGGGAATCAGGTTACTGAGATACCTACGGGTGTGAGCTCAAGTTTGTTTTTTTTTGTTTTTTATTTTAATTTACTGTTTCCCTAGGTATAAGGGGTCTACAGAGTCATATATTGAAAAAGTCATGATTTCCTCAAATGCAGAAGAAGCCTTCCTAATCAAGATCTTGCTGAGACAAACAAGACGACCAGAGATCGGTGATAAATTCAGCAGTCGACATGGACAAAAGGGTAATCCTTCCTTTTTTATTATTTCTTACGGCCCTCTTACATAAATTGAAACTCCATGTTTAAGAAAATCCCCTCCATGTTACCCAAGTATATACAGGCAAGAACTTCCACAAAGCTCATCTCAGGTTGTTTCCCTGTTATAGATAATGACAGGCTATTTCTTTGCACTTTCAGAAATCTTTAAAGCTAAATTCGAGGCAAAGTACTAAATACACAGGTGAAATGCATATATGGGAGCTACATTCTCTGCTAAAGTCTTTGTATTTCTGTCCATCCGTTCCCGAGACTTACACAGCCTTGCCAGACATCAGACCCTGTCTGTTGATGACTTTTCTTTAATGCAGTTAAGGAATTCAGCCAGGTTACCTCCCCGTCCCAATTCTAAGACTGGACAGTGAAGGAGCAGCAGCAGGTAATCCCTCAGCTCAATTAAATGTATTAAATTAAATTTGCCAAAACCATAGACAGTGCCTTGGAAAAGTATTCATACCCCTTTACATTTTCCACATTTTGTCATGTTACAACTAAAAACGTAAATGTATTTTATTGGGATTTTATGTGATAAACCAACACAAAGTGACACATAATTGTGAAGTGGAAGAAAAATAAATGGTTTTCAAAATATTTTTTCAAGTTATTATCTGAAAAGTGTGGTGTGCATTTGTATTCAGCTCCCGTTAGTCAATACTTTTGTAGAACCAACTTTTAACTGCAATTACAGCTGTAAGTCTTTTTGGGGGATGTCTCTACCAGCTTTGCACATTTAGAGAGCGAATTTGTTGCCCATTTCTCTTTGCAAAATAGCTCAAGCTTTGTCAGATTGGATGGAGAGCATCTGTGAACAGCAATTTTCAAGTCTTGTCACAGATTCTCGATTGGATTTAGGTCTGACTGGGCTATTCTAACACACGATCGTGTCATTGTCCTGCTGGAAGGTAAACTTCTGCCCCAGTTTCTAGTCTTTTGCAGACTCTAACAGGTTTTCTTCAAAGATCCCTGTATTTGGCTCCATCCATCTTTCCATCAACTCTGACCAGCTTCCTTGTCCCTGCTGAAGAAAAGCATTCCCACAAAATGATGCTGCTGCCACCACCATGTTTCACAGTGGGGATGGTGTGTTCAGGGTGATGTGCAGTGTTTGTTTTCCACCACACAGTGTTTTGCTGTTAGGTCAAAAAGTTAAATTTTGATCTTATCTAACCAGAGCACTTTCTTCCACATGTTTGCTGTGTCCCCCACATGGCTTCTCGCAACCTGCAAATGGGACTTCTTACTGCTTTCTTTTTGCCACTCTTCCATAAAGGCCAGATTTGTAGAGTGCACAACTACCGTAATATTTGTCCTGTGGACAGATTCTCCCACCTAAACTGTATCTCTGCAGCTCCTCCAGAGTTACCGTGGGCCTCTTGACTGCTTCTCTGATTAATGCTCTCCTTGCTGGCCTGTCAGCTTAGATAGACGGCCATGTCTTTGTAGGTTTCGTGTCATAATCTTTCCATTTTCGAATTGTAGATTGAACAGTGCTCCTTGAATTGTTCAAAGCTTGGGATATTTTTTTTATAACCTAACCCTGCTTTAAATGTCTCCACAACTTTATCCCCGACCTGTCTGATATGTTCCTTGGCCTTTACTGATGCTGTTTGTTCATTACTGTTCTCTAACAAACCTCTGAAGGTTTCACAGAACAGCTGTATTTATACTGAGTTTAAATTACACACAGGTGGACTCTATTTACTAATTAGGTGACTTCTGAAGGCAGTTGGTTCCACTAGATTTTAGTTAGGGGTATCAGAGTAAAGGGGGCTGAATACAAATGCGCGCCACACTTTTTTTAGATATTTAATTGTAAAAAAGTTTGAAAACCAATTATCATTTTCCTTCTACTTCACAATCCCAATAAATACATTTACATTTGGTTGTAACATGACAAAATGTGTAAAATTTCAAGGGATATCAATGCTTTTTCAAGGCACTGTAATATGAGGTCAAACCTAAACACTTTCAAATTTTTTTCTAATTAGGCAAGCCCTTGCACCACATAGTTACGGGTAAATCTGAATGAAATTGAATAAGAAAATTGTATAATGTATGGCCAGCTTAAGTGCTGCTGTACATGGGGTTGCAAGAGAAAAGTAATATTCAGCTATTTGAACTAGTTGCATTATATATAATGTGTGTCTGTGTTCAGTCTCTAGTCTCATGTGCTCTAATATATGTGCCATCTGAACTAAATGTGAAAATCCTTGTGCAGTAAACGTATTGGCATTATCTGGGATGCAACTTTCCATGCAGCAGGTTGGCTGTGTTTTGACCTTGGCCTGCCTCTTTAGAAGAGGCAGGGAGTAAACTGAAAAATCAGGGGGGAGTGAGAATTCTTTAGAATACTGTTGTCCTGGTTGCAAGTAAGTGAAATTGGAAGGTTTCACAGTTAAAGTGGAACTAAACTCCCCATTATGGTCATCTTCTTACTGATGGTGTAATAATCAAGCAACATGAGATGCTCAGAAAACACAAATTCACAGAATGGATGAAGCAGGGAGATCTTTGCACTGCAGAACCTCAGGTACAGCTTCCTTTCAAGCAAGGAGAACAGTGAGCAGCACAGTAATGCCATCACTAAACCTCACTCCAAATCTGGTAAAGCCGGCCATAGATAGAGACATTTTCTTTTTTGCAACCCTTGGTTGCAGGAAAGAAAATCACTCTATTCCCCATTAACACAGTCAGTGTTGATGGGGGGAGTGCTCCCTGCAGAGTCATTATGTTCTTCTGGTGGGTGAAGCCGTCCCTGCTAGGAGAACACAGTGATTACTGGTAGCGGCTATACCACCCGCTAGCAATAGCATGGCAAATCCGACAGGCTTGTTGTACCCAAGTTCATTGATCAGTCAACTTGGGTACATTCAGCCTACCCATACATGGTTCAAATTGCGGCCTGTCCCTGCTGAACCGGCCGAGATTTGAACCTTGTATAATCAGCTTAAGACTAGCAGTCAGAGGCAGCAGTGCCTTCTTAGATGATCTCACACTGCAGATATACTGAGATGAGGCTTTAGGCACAATAGGTGCGTTACTGGTGTTCAGGAGGAAATCGGGGCAAAAGGTAATTCTTTCAGCGTATATCTTGGGCATGATTTCATTTGTAGATGTTCCTTATGGCATAGCATATGTTTCATTTTTGAGTTCAGATCCATTTAGAGCCCCCATTCCCACCTGAGTGTTATGTCGCACTACTTCCGAAGCATAACAGCACTGTAGATAAAGAATCTCATTATTCTCAAGGGACCTGTTCACACCTGAGTGTTTTATCACGTGTTGAAGCTCTACAAAGTACATGAGCTTCTTTGGAGCAGAATTGCATAAACATATGACACATGAAGATTTTCTCTACTATAGGCTGTGCATATGGGGCAACAAATGACCATGAAATTACATAATCAATGCACATTTTTGGCTGATGAAATACACAAAGTAAGGCTTTTATACTACCTATAAAAGTCTATGGGGCTAAAAATGCACGGTTCTGCATCCTGTACTACAAGATGTGTGTACAAAAAAAATGAAAAAGAAAGCCTCTAAATTTTTTGGGCTGCACTCAAGGTAAATGTGAATGGGGGCTTGCATTTCCATACTGAATCACTTTAAGCATCCTATATATCGGTGCCACTTGCTACTGCTTCTCCACTGCAGATACTATGATCTGCAACAGATTTAGCTATCCATGTGGGTTAGGTTAGGCCAGTGTTTCTCAACTCCAGTCCTCATGGACCCCCAACAGGTCATGTTTTCAGGATTTCCATTATTTTGCACAGGTGATTTGATCAGTTTCACTGCCTTAGTAATTACCACAGCTGTTTCATCTGAGGGAAATCCTGAAAACATGACCTGTTGGGGGTCCATGAGGACTGGAGTTGAGAAACACTGGGTTAGGCCAATACAGGCATTTGTCATGGGGACTGATACCAACATTGTGTCCTCTTGTATAAGGTGGGCTATGAGTGCATGAGCCATATACATACAGTACATATTTCAGCTATGCCTATGATTATTTGAACAGATAAACTGTTAATCCTTGAATCAGTAACTTTTGGCAATAGCCCATTCATTGGCACATTCTATGCAATGAAGGCCTAATATTGATTTGCTCTGCTGATGTAATTTGCCAGGTCAGGTTGTCAGGTTTTTTTTTTTATTTTAATGTTCAGCCCGCTGGTTGAATGAAAAAAATAAACTGATAATGTGTACTAAGTCACATTTATATGAAAAAAATAAACTGATAATGTGTACTAAGTACATTTATACATACATATTAAGACCAATCTAGACAGGAGCCAATTAACCTACTAGGATGTCTTTGGAGTGTGGGAGGAAACCCACACAGGCACAGGGAGAACATGAAAACTCCAGGCAGGTAGTGCTGTGGTTGGAATTCAAACCCAAAACCCTAGTGCTACCAGTCTGAAGTATAACTACTTATCCACTGAGCTGCACCTTGAAGTGTTGGGTGTCCCAGTCTTATCACATTTTCTATATAGTATTAAATACTTTAAATCCCATCAGGGAAACGGAACTCTTTTTAAAGGATAAGTGCACCTTTTAAAAAAAAATAATAAATGCACATGTTTTTGCAGGCAAAAGAAAATGTACATTTATTATTTTTTTAGGAGCCTGTAAATCATTGCACGCATGATCAGCAGATCATAGGTGCTATGCTGGGCTCCTGCAGACTCTGTGTTAGCTGCATGCTTGTACCTCGTACGAGCAGACCGTTGAACACTGACAGGAAGCCTCGATGAACTACCACAGCTCTCAACATCGCCTTGGTAGTTCATTGAGAACTACAACTTGACAGCCGCAAAGGCTATCAGGCGTTGTAGTTTCTCATTCACAGAATACTGTGAATGAGTGTAGCATGTTAGAATAGGTGAACTTATCCTTTAAAATGGACCTAGAATTCGACAATGTTAGTTGATTTAAGTGTAGTTTGATTTACAAAGACA